TTAATAAACACCTTTTTAGGGATCAATGGCCTCTTGTTATGATGCAAATACTAAAAACAAACACAAAGGCAAAAAGGTTAGTAAAATAGAAATAAAAAAAATGGTAAAGGAAAAAACATAAGGACACAAAAAAAAGGTTAGGAAAGAAATGTCCTAGGTTTTGGAATGTGGTTTTGGGGTAGGCTCTATTTATTCAAAGTCTCCCGGTTTAGGTTCTAAAAACGGTACTCGAGTTCTCCTTGCTGGCGCCCCCTTGGGCCGACCAGACCCTTAGTCCGAAACCCATCACAGGCTTGTGTAGACTAAGTTAAACTCAAGAGGACACATTCCCTTATGCCCATACGGAGAATAAATTCACACGAAGGCATAAGGTATATGAATCCCGAAGGCTACTTGCTAGGCCCTTACGGTGAATAAATTCACACGAAGGCGTCGCTTTCACCCCCACTTAAAACGGGTTCGGAGCTCGGGTTTAGAGCCTTAGATGAAAAATGTTTGGAAAGCTGAAATCATTAGAAAACGGTCAGTCCAACTATTTACTCGAAAAATATAATCAAAAATAAGTAATAAGGATCGGAATATTACCTTAAAATTTAAACTTACCCTTTTCGTTAAAAAGACAACTGGAAATTACCTTAGCCTGACTCACTTACTTGTCTCCCCAGCGGAGTCGCCAAGCTGTCGCAACCGTCTTTCGGTTGGGCCCCGGAATTGGGCTTCGACTTAGAAAAATGTGGATTAGAGTCGCCACCGATCAAAAAAAAAATTTAGGTTGATCGGACACCATCTTACCTGATCTGCGTTTTACCAGAAATGTGTCGGATTCGGGAGTCGGTTACGGTCAAGGAAGGATTAGCACCCTTGAACCGCCCTTTCGGTACTATGTAATTTCCAATTGTCTTAATTAAGAAAATTATAGTTTTAGATTAAAAGGTAAAAAATATCGATCCAAATCACTTACCTTAGATTGGTTTAGAAATCCCCTTAAAAAGTCAAGAAACGAGTTAGGTAATAAAAGTGGTAAAATAAAATGAGGAAAATAGAAAATAAAAATAGTTAATATATATATATACCAATAATAATAAAAAAAGAATGAAGACATGGAAGATAAAAATACTAGGAAGAATATGAGGCAAACAGACAGAATAAAGAAAAAAACAAGGTACACAGAAGTATGAATAAATATAAAGAAAATACAAAAGAAAAAAGAAAATAAGGAGAGAAAAATAGAATAAGAATATAAACCAATAAATAGAAAAAAAAAGAAAAGTACAAACACATATTAAAAATCTACATAAGAAAAATATATGCAATAGAATGAAATATATAAAGAACGAAAAAATATATAAGTAATATATATATATATATATATATATATATATATATAAAATATAATATACTATAGTATAAATAAATAAATAAAGAAAAAGAAAAAATATAGGATATTATAACAATGTATATATACGTATATATATACATAAGAAAAATATATACAATAGAATGAAATATATAAAGAACGAGAAAAAAAAATATATAAGTAATATATATATATATATATATATATATATATATATATATATAATATACTATAGTATAAATAAATAAATAAATAAAGAAAAAGAAAAAATATGGTATATTATAACAATGTATATATACGTATATGTATATAGAGAATCATAATGAAATAACGCAAACTTGGGTGACCGAATTAAAAGAAAATCAGAAACAGAGACTGAATCTTAAAGAAAATTGGATTCAAAATTGAAATCAGGGATCAAATCGAGCCTTAAAAAAAACGAGAGGACCAAACGTGTAGTTTCTCCTTTCGTTAAGAAAAACACGCGGATCTTAGTATATAACTTAAGTTTTTTTTAAAAAAAAAATTCATTTATTGTCTTCTCATCAGCCGAATCCCTCTCCCATCTCTTCGTTTTCTCTCTTCAGATCATCCTTGGATGAACACGCCGCCACCTGGGTTCCTGATGAACCCAGAAAACACCCGTCGCCGCCTCGCCGCCGCTGTTGAACGGCGACGACCACCGTTCATCGGCGGCAAAAATCAAAATTTTGCATTTTTCCGAGAGGTCTCTGTACCCTCGTTTAAAAAAACATATTGATTTTATGAAAAGGAAGCATCGGGAGGGTAGATCTAGAATAGATCCACTCGAAATACCCCTCCCCGGGTCTTCGGCCGAACATTTCTTTGGGGTTTTCCGGGCAAAATAGCAAGCAACACTCGACATGCAACGATGAAACACGAACAAACAAAGGTGAAAAAAGAAAAAACGCTACATTTTTATTCTCTTTTTCGAAAATCTCTACAAGTGTTTGAAATTTCTTTGTGTTGGCTATGATGAGTTTGCGTGTGTGGTGATTTCTCTGTGATCCAATCCATCCGTAGTGTTACAAATGTGTATTATTTATACTGAAAAAACTGACTTATTTTTAGGCTCCTATTAAAAGTAGAATTCTAATGCATGTTGGTTGTTGATTTTGTGGGTCGTTGGTCGCTTCCTTGAGCCGGGAGAATCGGGATGACCGTTGATGGAGAGAGGCATACGGACTGAGGGGTCCTCGGGTAAGCGGCGCCGCTTGGAACGAGGCATGGAGCTAGGGTTCTGGAGACTTTGGGTGTCACGGGCTGCTCTCGTGGGATTTGGGTCTTGTTGGGCCACGTGTAGCAAGCTACTGATGTATCAGGCCTGCACAAATGTAAAGAAATAATATTAATAATATTATATATATATAATTATACAATATAATTATATAATATAACAAAATGATAAAATTGAGTGTCTTCAACTTCACTGTGAAATATAGTTTTCCTTTCATAAGGTTTCATCCTATTCTTCTTGTTGTTCCAGCACCCATCCGTGACGGAGATCTTGCCGTTCTTGTTGGCGTCAAACTGGTCCAAGGCCTTTCGGAGTTCGTCATGGTTGACGCGTGAGGCGGTGTTTGGTTGTGGGGTTGGAGTTCTGGACATGGTTTGCTTAAAAGGAAAATGGAATGATTTTGGTTCAGCCAAATAGGAACCATGGCGGGATAACAGAATAACAACCAACTGCTTCTACTTATGCCGAGCTTGTTCCATTATTGTCAAAATTTATTTCTTTTTCCTTTGATTACATATCATTTAAGCCATTAACATTTAACAAAGATAATAACATGACAGTTTATAAAAGTGGTATAGTTATATATTCGATCTCCAATATTTATATATTCTATCAATTTTGTCTTAATTTTAATTTAATTCAAAAAATTAATGCTCCAATCAGTAGATACCACGCATCAATAGATTATTGCAACACATTTTACTAGTGACACGTGATATTATTTAATTGGAGAATTTAGGGGTTTGAGATCGGAGGTTTAAGTTTTGAGATTTATGGTTTAGGATTTAGAATTTATGAACTATGATTTAGGGTTTAGAGTTTAAGGTTTAAGGTTTAATGATCGGGGTCTAGAGTTTAGATTACAAGTTTCAAATAAAATTTAATTTAGATTCAAATGAAAGGTTATGTATTAGTTTCTATTCATATAAGGATCTTATTGTCCTCAAAATGAAATAGCTAAAATTAAAATGATCTTAAAAAAAAGAATAAGAGTTGGGATGGATCCAATTAAAGGCCACTTTATAAAATTTAAGAGTAAAAACATATACAAAAATGTAATCATTTGAGAGTAGTAATTTCATCAATCTAAATGATCATTACTCAAAGTTTGCAAAGTTTTACGAGGCCTATGGAATTATTCAAAGCCTCTGAAGTCCTATATCTTTCGGACAACTACGACACCTTAATGTGTCTATCGACAGATTCATTTGATATGTAATCCAATATTTGATAGTTAGATTTAGTTAGTCTATTAATTTGCAAATAGTTATCCTTAACTTAAGTCTCAAACTAATATTAAGGGACATAACATAAGTTACCATGTAAGATTAAGATAATTTTCCTTTTTCTCTCGACGATTTTTCATCATTGTCTTTAACCCATTTATTTTTTGTTTTTTCTCCGGCAAACAACCGTCGTAATCCGATTTCACTATAAAAAAAAAATATGTATGAATGAGTGGTAAAAATAAAGAATGAAAGAGCGCGTGATATTTTTAAGGCAAACAGAGGTGAGGGAATAAAGGCAAATCAAAAGGACAAGATGAGTCCACGTACAGCAAAGACGAAGCAGCCCATTCCCACATTCAAACTTGAGGTTCCGAACCAACCACCGTTCCCCCTTCCCTCTTAAGCCACTCTACTAATCATCTGTATTTAATATTACCCTCTCTCCTAAATTTCCTTTGGGTAAACTACACAAATGATCCCTCGACTCTAGTCTCTCACTATTAAAAATTATAAAATAATCCCTTATTATAAGAGATTATTTTTTTGAGTCCTTCAACTATTAAAATTTACAAAATAGTTATCCGGCTTCTAATATATTTTGAACTCGTTCGTTTCTTTTGAAAATTTTGATAGTCGTTTCTACTGACTGGATATGATAAAATTATATTTTAATGATGTTTATTAACACTGTCATTAATTTTAAGCACTAACTCGACGACATAATATTTCAAGCATTGGTTTGATGACATAATGTAAATGGAGGCTCGATCCATAGAATACACCTCAAATAGTTATGGGATCAAATTTTATCATATCTCAGTTAACAAATTAACGTCCTACTCAAAAGACTATCATCTTTTAATGAAAAATGACGAGTTTGGAACATATGAATAGTCGGGTGACTGTTTTGTAACTTTTAATAGTCGAGTGACCATTTTATAACTTTTAATAGACAAGAGATTCAACAAAGCAATCTCATATATAATTGAGGGGTCACTTTATAATTTTTATTAGTTAGAGACTCAACAAAGCAACGTATTATAATTAGGGACCATTTGTGTACTTTACCCATTTTCCTTCATACATCCACTAATGCTGGAATTCATCTATATATTTTCGTGACCACAGAGCTGTAGAATATATGGGTTATCCGCGTACACATATGGTATAGGCATTAAAGTAATACGAGCATAGAAAGTGAGGAAGCTTAATGATGTGTATTTTAGCCACACAAGCCAAACTTTATTGAGCTTTGGTAGTGTCCATGGGAGCCATACATTTATCTCAATCTCAAGGTCCAAAACCCTCCAACGCCACCGTCTCTTTTACACTTGAATGGGCAATGAACAACTTCTCCTCCGGATTCCCAACCCAAGGAAGAAAGGAATATGATAACGAAAGCTTCGGAAAAGATAGAGAGAAGCAAGGCGATCATAAACCCGAAGCAGCTCGTTGCGAGTGGGATTTTTCTCTCGCTACAGTCGTCTCCTCTGGTGCCAATGCCGCGGTTTCTGATTCTCTCGGCGTCATCGAATTCGATCCTTCGAATACCGTTGTAGCGACAGGAGGGATCGCGAGAAAGATTAGGATTTACGATTTGAAGTCTTTGTTGCCACAAGATGACATCATCGTATGCAACGGTGAGCAAAATGATATAGCCTTACTAGACCATGTCAATGCATGTAGCTATTACATATGTACACCGGCTAAGCTCAGTAGCCTTAGATGGAAACCCGGGTCCGGAGGGCGGCTTCTCGGATCGGGAGACTATGACGGGGTGGTCACGGAATACGATCTTGAGAGGAAGCTGCCGGTCTTCGAACGTGACGAGCACGGCGGGAGAATAGTTTGGAGCGTGGACTATTCGCATAGGGACACATTCATCGGGGCATCCGGCTCAGATGATGGCACCATGCAAATGTGGGACCAACGATGTGGCAGCGGTGAATGTGTGGCTAAGGTGCAACCGTCAACGGCACGTAGCTCCGTCTGTTGCGTCGAATTCAGCCCCTCCAACGACTATCTGTTAGCCGTCGGATGCGCCGATAAGAAGGCGTATGCCTACGATGTGCGGAAAATGGATGAGCCGTTGCACGTGTTAGGAGGGCATACGAAAACCGTGACATACGTTAGATTCCTCGACACCCAAACAATGGTTTCAGCAGGAACCGATGGGTGTTTAAAGCTATGGAACATAAGCGATTGTCGTTTAATCAGAACATACAAGGGACACAAGAATTGTCGAAGCTTTGTTGGGCTGTCGGTTTGGAGGCATGGTGGCTTGCTTGGATGTGGGTCGGAAAACAACAAGGTATTTGTTTACGATAAGAGGTGGGGCGAACCCATTTGGGTACGTTGCTTCGAGACAATGGCTGGAGCCGGGTTTGAGCATGGGTTCGTCAATAGCGTATGCTGGAGGCAAGTCCAGGAAGACCGGTGCACACTTTTGGCAGGGGGTTCCAATGGGATTTTACAGGTTTTTGTTGGCACAAAGAAATCATAGCTCATTCTTATTGGTTTACCATTTTTTAGCATTTTATCCAAGTTTTTAACTTTCACTTGTGGCTTGCCATTCGCTTAAAGATATTTCAAAGTATGAACATTGATTTTCATCTCTGAATAATATAATCAAGGGAGGGAGGGTGTCAACACACATTTTTCGTCCTACTAGGATTCAAACTCCTAAAAATAGGATAGAATTTTAGGATTCAAACTCCTAAAAATAGGATAAAATTTTGCTAGGATTCAAACTCCTAAAAATAGGATAGAGTTCTACTATTATTTAAATTCCTAAAGATAGGATCCACAAGCACTATAAATAGCCATTGTAACTCACCATTGTAAGACGATTTACACACAAAACACAGAGGAAAGCACGGAAAATACAAAGGCAAAGTTGTTGTAAACGATTCAAAAAAGGAAATAAAAGGTAACATCTTTTTTTACATTGGTTCGTTCATTTCTCGCATGTGCACGTTATTTTTCTTGAGATTTGGTTCGAATAACCCAAAACGTGGGTTGCGCCGATGACTAAAAAGGGGTGGGATTTCGAAGTTTCGCACCTAGATCCACCCCGAGGCGTGTTCATTTTTTTAAAATATTTAATTCTCCCCCCTAAATCATTTTTTTCCTACTTTATTATTCTTGTTATATATGCATATTACTTTCTATTAATTTTATTATATATGTATATATGTTTTTTTACTAGTGTTATTATATATATATATTTATATATTTCCTATTTTGCATGTATATATACGTATATTACTTTTGATTTTCTTTTTTTTATTATTATTATTTTACTTATATATATATATATATGCTTTTACGTTTTTATATATTTTACTCATTTATTTATCTATTTTTATATTTATCCTATATTTTATGTTTTTATATTCTTTTACTTGTTTTATTTATTTATTTGCATTATCATTTTATTTTTATTTAGTTGTTTGTTGTGCATATATTAGTGTTATTGTTTTTTTATTTTATATATTCTATTCATTTTATATTTACTTTATTTCTTACTTAATCTCTTTATTTTATTTGTTTTACTTTATTTATCATTTATTCATCTCTTCTAACCCATATTTTGACTTTTAAAGGGTATATTTGTAAATCCGTCAAAGGTAAGTAATTTTGGATCATTATTTTATCTTTTAATTTAACTTGTTATTTTTCTTAATTAAGACAACTGGAAATTACGTAGTACCGAAAGGGCGGTTCAAGGGTGCTAATCCTTCCTTGACCGTAACCGACTCCCGAGCCCGACATATTTCTGGTAAGACGCAGATCAGGTAAGAAATAGGGTATCCGATCAACCCATTTATCTTTAAATAAATGATCGGTGGCGACTCCAATCCACATTTTTCAAGTCGAAGCCCAATTCCGGGGCCCAACCGAAACACGGTTGCGACAGCTTGGCGACTCCGCTGGGGACACAGGTAAGTGAGTCAGGCTAAGGTAATTTCCAGTTGTCTTTTTAACGAAAAGGGTAAGTTTAAATTTTAAGGTAATATTTCGATCATTTTTACTCACTTTTGATTATATTTTCGAGTAAATAGTTGGACTAATCGTTTTCTCATGATTTCAGCCATCAAAGTTTTTTTTCATCTAAGGCTCTATACCCGAGCTCCAAACCCTATTTTAAGTGGGGGTGAAAGCGACGCCTTCGTGTGAATTTATTCACCGTGCGGGCCTAGCAAGTAGCCTTCGGGATTCATATACCTTATGTCTTCGTGTGAATTTATTCACCGTGCGGGCATAAGGGAATGTGTCCTCTCGAGTTTAACTTAGTCCATACAAGCCTGTGATGGGTTTAGGACTAAGGGTCTGGCAAGCCCAAGGGGGCACCGGCAATGTAACAACCCGAAAATTTCAAATAATATTAATTTGGGATTTGAAGATTTAATTGTGTAATTGGTGAAAATTTGGGGACTAAATTGAAAGATTTTAAAACTTGAAGCTTGTTTTAGAGTTAAAGGAAATTCAGGGACCAAGCCCTGAATTTACCCAAAAAAGTTAGGTATTTGGTTTATATATATGATTTATGCGTGAATTGGGTTCTGAAAATCAGAACCCAATTCCTCCCAAATTTCCATTTCCTTGCCTCAACTTCCGACCCCGATTCCGACGCCGTCTGAATTCCGATCGTTGTTTTGAAAGCACCACCGTGTTCGTTATCGAGTCAGGAACAATCCCCTCAATTTAATTGAAGCGAAACGCTGCCAAACGTCGTGAATTTCAAGTCAAAGCATCGACGTTTTTTTTAGCTCAATCGCCTTGAAAATCCTAAATTCATCGCCGATCGTTGCTCCGTTTACGACACCTCCCGCACCATCGTGTTCCTTGTGCCGTTCCGAGTTCGCCGGTCTCATCCTCGATCTCCGTAGACGGCGGCGCATGGGGAGGTGAAGCGGTCAAAGTTTCCGATTTTATGAAATCGAGCTCTCCGCCGTTCAAAAATTTGAACCGATCTTTGTAAGTATCTCGAAATCACTGAAAATAATTTTTAGAAAATTTTCCGGAATTTTTAGAGTCCCGGAAGACGTCCCACGCGCCTACACGCGCCGCCGGTGGGCGAGTGAATGTTTGAAAAAAACCGGTTTGACCGGTTTTCTTAAGGGTTTGACCGGTTTGACCGGTCACGACCCGACCCGATAGTTGACCCGACCCGACCGTTGACCCGACCCGTTGACCCGACCCGACCGTTGACCGTTGACCGGTGCTATTTTGGTAAATAATTCGGTTTTGGTGCTATTCTAGTAAATAATTCAGTTTTGGTGCTATTCTGGTAAATAATTCGAAAAAGGGTGCTATTTGTGTAAAATGTTCAACAGATTGTTGACCTCCTTTGACCAGAACTTTGACCGGCTTTGACCGGCTATTAAACGATCGTTAATCTTTTCCGAAACCACCTATCCTGACAGTTTTCGACGTCCCGAATCCGTTTTTGGGGTCTGTTTCACCAAATTCGAACCCGGAAGTCTCCAAATCGTCAGTCAAACCCGTTGACTTTGATTTTGACCGAGAATTCGAAATTTCTGAAGGTCATACTTTATGTTTTTCGACGTCCTGAGTTTGATTCCGAAGTCCGTTTGGCAAATTCTGACCCAAAATTCCCGAATCGAGCTTGTGAACCTAAAAAGGCTTAGTATTTTAGTATTTTGATATATGGTTAAGAAATTGATTAAGTAAGATATTTTATGAAGGTACTCGTGTTTCACCTGAGCAAGGATCAGTCAGGTCCGGTGTTGTCCGTTCGTCAGATTAGTCCGAACCGCGTATTACAAGAACTACCCGTAGGTTTCCGTATATTATTTAAGTAAAGATTAAGATTATTTTTTTTATTAGAATTCCAATAAGGATTTTTCCAATTCGTAGGATCTAGCGCTGCAGCAGAGCGTGATCGACAAATCCAGTAGTAGGCTTCCCTATCCGATTTCTCAGACTGTTACAGGTGTGTTTCCTAACAGTATTATATTACTGATTTAAATGATTTATCTGAATACCGAATACTTGATATCTGATTTACTGTATATTCTGATATAATTTCTGAATTAAGGTATTTCATACCGACTTCTGAGATCTGCTTATCTGATATCTGAATTATTGATTTGAATTCTGATTTTCGTATTTCTGCATATGGTTTTTAAGCATGAAATATTTGTTATGTTTTAAGTGATTAATCATTGTTTTCATTTGAATACATTCATTGTCATTTGGGTGGGTATTGTTGAAGGAAGATTATCTGCAGACTTCTCGGCTTTGTGCTCAGGGTCTAAATGGCATGTGCGGTTGGGTGTATGGTTCTGGGGAACCTACACAATTATGATGTGAACGGATGGGGGTAGTGTTCATGTTTTAAAAACATGTTGCATAAACCGATTTCATTGAAAGATTTTATCCGTATGTTTTTATTATATACTGTATGGAGCACACTGAGCTTTTTAGTTCATTCTGTAGTTTTTAACCTTTTTCAGATAGTAGAAGACCGTAAGCTAGCAGATTTGGCATCAGGGAAGATCAACTACTTAATTTGTACGAACGTATATCTCTATATGTTTTTCAGTTGTGTTTGGTGACATGTATTTGCTATCGTTTTGGACTTATTTGTATTACTAATATCTTGTTTTGTATTATAAATAATGTAATATAAGTGTTTTAAATATAAAGAAATCTCTGAATGGGACATGTGCCCGCTTAGGTTTGGGTCTAACGTTTAGGCCGGGTCTAGGGGGTTACATTTGGTGGTATCAGAGCTTTCGGTTTTAAACACTCGGACTGTATATGGGTCCTAAATTTTGAAAAAAAAAAACGTGTCACCATATTTTATAATTTAAAGTTTTCTCGAGATCCCTGATGCTAATCTGACATATGTTTCGAATTCTTTCTGTAGAGCCTTATAGATCCAATAATGAATGCTGCTAGAGGTCGTAGGACAGGACGTGGACGTGGTAGAGGGCGAGTCGCTCGACCTTCTGTTACGATAGACGATCCATTGTCACCACTTGATTCTCCTGTTCCACAAGTAGATCCAACTCTTTCTCAAGATGATCAGTTTACTCCTGTGAGAGACCCTCCTGTCACTGAAAATGAGGATTCTGAGATGAATGAAGACGCCATTAATAGAGCTATCTTCCGCATGTTTCAGAGAGCTGCTAGAGCCCCTAGTAACATGACTGCAGTGGAGATTTCAAATTCTTTGGTCGCTGCTGGTGTAATTCCATTCGAGGGTATTACTGGTGGACCTCCGACAGACGCTGAGTATTGGCTGGAGGACACAGAGAGGATTATGGATGAGATGGACCTCAGACCTGAGCAGAAGTTGAAGGGGGTCCTAACTATGTTAAAGAAAGAAAGCTTCAGATGGTGGCAATCCATTTCGGGTAGTATTCCAAGAAACCAGTTAACATGGGATCTTTTCAAAGAATGTTTCCGGAGTCGTTACGTCGGAGAGAGATATCTACAGGAACGACGCCAGGAGTTTCAGAATCTGGAGCAGGGTAATATGACTGTTATGGACTACGAGGTTGAGTTCATCCGATTGAGTCGCTATGCCCCTGGACTTGTTAACACTGAGGCAGATCGATGCTTGAGGTTTGAGAATGGACTCAGGTATGAGATCAGGAGTCGA